CTGGTTGAGTGCAGGATCAGACTTAACTGATCTGGGTCAAACCAGTTTATGAAACTTCCATCCCAGGCCTCTTCCTGGTTCAAGTTAAATCATGGTACCCCCAGCATCCCAGCATACTTTTCAGCCCTGGGCTGGGCTGGGCTGGGCTGTCTGCTCCAGCAGAGAAGGGTTGGCAGGGAAGGGGAGGGCAAACCGCTGCTGGGGTCTGGGGCCAGGAAGGGTGGTTAAACTTCTCTTGCCCCAAGTACAGAGCTGCCCTGCCCTGCCCTGCTAAAAACTTACTGCTGGCTGCGACTGTGGATTACAAATTCAGAGGCACCTGGAAGCAGGAAAAGGAAGTGATGAGCAACCCTACAGAGTCCTGCTGCTGTAATTCTGGACTGCAAATCCCAGAGACCTTGGGGGCAGCACGAAGAAGAAACGAACACAGCCCAGCCTGGCTACATGCCAGAGAGCTGTGCTCTAGCACCCTCCAGCAGGTATGTGGGAGCATTTCCTGAATCAAAAGTGAAGGTCTGTCCAGTTGTTTCTCAGTTTAATCTCTGCAGTTTAGACTAACCTGCAACGAGTGAACTGATTCAGCCTCAGGCTTTTTGACTGTCTGTACTTAGACAAGGAGTCAAAATAGTTTGGCTACTTAACAAATAGTGTATTTTCTTCCAGAAGGATCAGAGATGTAAGGAAGGTCAGAAGATCAGAACTGGAACTGTTTCTCGAGAGGCAGGAAGTTTGAAATAGAAGTTATGCTAGTGATAATGTACAGGTCACCATCTGATGGGGTAGAGGGTCCATACTGCTATGACAGAGCTTTTCAAATTTCCTGGCTTTTGAAGTTCTGTACTAGGTATATCTCATTTAAATTGACTTCAGTCAAACTGTCCAAATGTCGTCCACCTGTCAAAAAACTGTCCAATTCTTTATGTGCATGAATGCAGTAAAAGCCATAATTTCAGAGAGGTGCTGATGAGGTCATAAACCATTGAAGATAAGCAGATATATGGTTGTTTCAGTATTAAAATATGTCTTCCCTTCCAAGAAACATATATTAGGCAGTAATTTTAGTTTGGAGCACGTTTTTCCTTGCAATACGTGAAGAACTGTTTCTACCACTAAAAGAGAAGAGACAGAGAGCAGAACAGACACAGAGACAGACAGAGACTATAAAATTAAAGGCTGTGGCAGTGGCAAAACTTCCACTGACTTCTGTGGAACAAGATCACACCCTGTTGTTTTTAAACAGTTAGTGGTGTTTTTCCGAGGAGAGAGAACTAAGCTAGCATGAGCTCTGTTGTCTAAATAATATTCCAGACTCTCTAAGAGAATGAGCTTTGCTGCCTATAAGGCTGAGTTAGAAAGGATAGCTTTTCTTCAGCCCTTGAAATTGTAACTGTGCTTCTCTAGACAGACTCCTTGTTTAAGCCTCTTAGCTCCTTGGTTTACCCACTGTGCAACTGTATGGCATTCTACAGCTGTGAAGTTACAGGGCATATTCTCAACTTGAGTGTAAATCATTATAGTTCCACTGACTACTTCCATTGTGCTACTTACAAAATATAACACAGACTCCATCATACTGGAAAGATGCACACATGGGGACAGCAACATTCAAGGTTGGGGAAGAGAACTGATGCAAAAGAGATAGCAAACTTCTATAAACTAGAAGTAAAAACACTAAAAGGACAAGGTTTCAAGAAAAGGAGCATGAAGCAAAAAACAGGAGTAACTGAGCTAAGTCAGGTAAAACAGTATGTTAGCCAAAAACTAGATTTGCAAGAGGCAAGGATTTTTGTGAATTAAACCACATGATTGAATTAAGTTAAACAAGCCCTTGAATGCAAGACATTTTTCATTAAGTCTATGCCTTGCCTTCAAAAGCTTACCTAACTTCATCCCAACTATGAACTTGGTCCAATAATAGATAACACCCACAAAAATTGTTGCCTCACACAGACATCCTGGACCATGACAGCTACAACACCACACACTCCAGCACTACCAAAACTAGATTCTGAATAACACAAAACATTAATAGTCAAACAGTAGCTACATACAGTTCACAGCTGTGCTCCCCAAGCATATTTAATCATTTGTGCTGACTTCCGTGACAAAAATAATGTTTCTGTTGGCTTCTATTCCTGTTAGCATTATAGTACTAATATCTATGGAAATCTACACTAGGTTTCTTTTGAAATCATGCATCATCAACAAATTTGCCCCATAAATTCCAAAAACAAACATTTTCTTTACAAGAGGACATATTTTCACACTGCAAATGCACTGAGTACACCCGCATATTTCTCAACAAGATCAGTTAGTAATGATTACGTCACCCAGATACAGCACAACCAGAATTTTAAATCCCACAATGTTTGCATTATTTTACTCGTAAACTGAGATACCACCCCCTAAACAGAATCATTATGGAACCCTAAAGTGCTATTTTTACAGGATTACTTTTTAAAATTAGGATCAAATGGTGCATGTGTGTATAAATGAGCATCAACTGATAGTAACAAAAAATAAAATTAGGAAAATCGTATTATGGAAAGCTAGCTTTATTTTTTTTAAATTACCAGTTTGTTCCAGTGGTCTCATCCTATTTCAAAATGGGGAAAAACAAACATATGCAATCTATTCATAATCTAGTTATATTATGTTACACTTAGAATTGTTAACATTTCCAAGTAACATTTCCTGATTACCTATTATTTATAGGAAAAAAACAACACTTGTCTGTGAGAAAATATTAATTAATAACAACAAACAATTCTATCACAGAATATTTGCAGTTAAGAGCATTTTGGAAACAATATTCTCCTTTAATAGATAGCTCCCATAGTGGGATTTATGCACATCTTTTGAAGAGAATATAAATCCTCAGAAGTTATTTATAGAACACTTATATTTCATGAAGTAATAACACACAATTAGAATATATGGATGAAACTGACATGCAGCTGCATATAACCTTGGAAGGTATAAAAGCAAGTCATACATCAACATTTGTAATGACTTCTCAGATATTGAAGAAGTACAATCTAATAACCAGAGAGATACTAACTTGCATACTTTTCTAACTATTTAGAAAAAAAACTGAGAAAGAAATGATGTTGTCCATTTGATTTAAACAGTGAGTTGGGGGAAAATGAAAGACCACCCATCTCTTTTAACAATCCATTCCTGAATGACTTCATTATGAGTCTACAATTTTACTGTTGTGTGCCTTTGTTTAGTATTATTTATATTATTTAAAACTAAGAATGGCAGCAAAAGACAGGCTAGGTTGCATCTGGACTTTGTTTTAGAACTAAGAGGTTCAAACTTAACCAAAATGAACTAAATTAAACCATAAAGTTATATTATGTTAACCAAAATCTGCGTTGTGATGAGTTTTACCAAAACAGGAGTGTAAATCATTTTTTTCTGGCTTGTGCATCATCAACAGATTTGTTCTGTAAACTCTGAAACAACACAGACATTCCCTAACCAAATCATTAACACATGCCCAGCTCTTATTTCAAATACTTCACGCAAGACCCACTGCTGCTATGACACACAAATTAAAGAGCCCAAGTATTATGGCTAAGTTGAAAGAGATTCAAAAATAGGTGATATTTATTTATTTAGACATCTACAGATTTTCAAACAATTTGAAACCATTAAGTTGTATGGCCCCACTCTGCCTTCCACCGAAGCAAATGGTAAACCCCTTCTTAGCTTCTGTGATGCAAAAATTGCATTTTACTTTTCAGACAACTGAAACATGCAATTACTAACTCCAAGCAGTTGGAATGAAGAATGTGCTTAGGGGCTGTAAAGGCTCAGTCTGCAAGCTAATTTACACGACTACATGCCTCCATTACCATTAACCTTGTTCTCCTCCTCCCATCCTTCCCTCATATTGTTTATAACATACTCACTGAGTACTCCTTTTCCCAGACTGGACTATAAACTCTTTAGGCCAGAAACAGCACCCAGCATACTAGCATCTTAACTTGGAAGCTGGCATGATGGAAGAAATAAATAAAATGATAAAAATAGAATGGTTGATTTATATTTACAACTGCTGAATATACAGAAATTCGAATTCACCAGTTGCAGGTATAATTCCATATCAGTTCACTGACACTGTGCAATTCTATGTTAGCCAAGAATTTGGCCCCAGATTTTCAAAGAACTGAAAGTCCTAAACAACATTATTAAAAATTAAGCTAGATTTCTGGTTTGTCTTTTCTACAAACAACACTCTTATTGTTAAACAAAATGCACACAGGTACATCATTGCGCCAATATGGAATCCAACCATGGTGCATAGGATTTTATACAAGTACAGAGCTCTATTTGTGCCCATCCAATATTTCTTTCACTAAAACCCACTAGCCCTTCTGTTAAGGAAACTGGGGTGGCCTGGGAATTAACAGGATGTTAAAAATTAGGAGCTGAATAGAGGAAGAGGAGAAGGAGATCATTCAAATGCATATTAAGCAAAACCTTTCATCACAGCTATCATTCATATAACAAGAGAAGGCTTATACAATTAGGCTGCTTACAGATGTGAAAAGAAAAAAAAAATAGTGCCTTACTTTAATCTTGGTGTGCTCCCATGCCAAGCACAGCACATGCCCAAGAGGCATCGCCTTAGTTGGAACCGGCTCACCCAACATCTGTACAGATCATGTGTTTCAGTAGGGCTTTTTGGTGCTTTTATCTAATAACTGATTTATTCAGTCAGCTGCAAGATAAAAGCCCCCAAAAGCCCCGCTGGAGCATGTAATCTATACAGATGCTGGTTGAACTAATGCAATGCCTCTTCCAGTAAAGCACTTTTTTTTCCCCCCACATCTGTCAGCAGCCTTATATTACACCACTATTTCTCCCTTTTGCTAAACACAGAAAGGAGCTGAAGCTATAGAACTTCATAAAGAACTTTACATTGACTTACCAAAAACAGATGCTGACTTAGTTAAAAAATTCAAGCAAAATGAAATGAAAAGAATTACCTTGTTCCAGTCTAAAGCACAGGGAACGTTTTGCAGCTTCTATCTCAGGAGTTGGATGATCCAAAAAGTGTCTACACCACTGCAGGGGATTCATTGATTTCTCTTGGGGTATGAGGCTCTTAGTAGGTAAGACATACAACCTTAATTAAAATATACACAAATGTTAGCTAGTTTGCACATAAAAATGAACTTTAGTTTTGCAGTATTCATTTACTTTGGATAAGATGTTCTAACAACAAGAATCCTATGTAACTGCATCCAGTTTTGGGCGCCACACTTCAAGAGGGATGTGGACAACCTCAAAAGGGTTCAGAAGAAAGCCACTTATATGGTTAGGGGCCTGCAGGCAAAGGCCTACAAGGAGACATTGAGGGCCCTGGATCTCTTCAGCCTCCGCAAAAGAAGGCTGAGAGATGATCTTGTGGCCACCAACAAATTCATCGGGGGGAGGGGCAGGACAGGAAGGAACAGGAGATGCTCCGTTTACCAGGGCACCCCTTGGAGTAACTAGGAACAACGGCCACAAACTGACAGAGAGCGGATTTAGATTAGACATCAGGAAGAACTTCTTTACAGTAAGGGTTGCCAGAATCTGGAATGGGCTTCCGAGGGAGGTGGTGCTCTCCCCTACCTTGGGGGTCTTTGAGAGAGGGCTAGACATGTACCTGGCCAGGGTCATCTGACCCCAGCGCTCTTTCCTGCCCAGGGCAGGGGGTCGGACTCGATGATCTGCTAAGGTCCCTTCTGACCCAAATATCTATGAATCAGATTCTAGTAACTAAAAAAAACCTCAGATAACAAAATTAGAAATAATCACTATACATATGATCACGTTTCCTTTGTTAGTTATAACTCTTCCTGCTAACTCCTTCTGCTGTCTTACCACTTGAAGTTCATTTTAGAGGATTTTAAAGATAATTTTTTGCATCATCTTGCTATTTGATTTGCATTACTTTGTAACTTGAGGCCCCAACCACAGATCGGAGGCCCCATGTGCTAGGTGCTATATACATACAGAGCAAAGCCAGTAGAGTAAATGTTGTACTTAATTTTGCATTTAAATTAGAACTTCATGTAACATCCATCTTTTAAATTCTTACTTTTAACAGTTTGGCCAATCATGTCAGAATGGATACATCATAAAACTAGATATTTTTATCATAGAGACATAAGACTGGAAGGGACCTCAGAAGGTCAAGTCTAACCCCATGATCAAGGCAGGGTCATCCCCAAATCATTCTAAACAAAAAAGTTTATCTAATCCACTGATTGTTAACCAAGATACGTGGCACCCTGGGATTCCATCAAATCCTTTCAAGTGTACCACAAGGTGTAAAGAAATTAGTGAGGTGTGAGCAGACAAGCACAAGCTCAAGCTTGTCCTTGACACACCAGGCCCCCATCCCCACTGCTTGTCCCTTCTATAAGGAGGTAAACACTATAACAGGGGTAGGCAACATTTTTTGGCTGAAGCGTCAAAAAGCCACAATGTCTACCTTGGAAGGTGCCAGAGTGCCGACATACCAGAGCCCAGAGTAGCTGTTTGCAGCCACCCAGCTACAGCCAGCCCACGGAGCCCCATCTGCTTGCAGCAGGGATGGCAGCCTCCCAGCCGTCTGCTGGGAGCAGCTTGGGCTCTGTGGCTGGCAGCAGCTGCTTAAAGCCCGGGCTGGTGGCGGTGTGCCGAGCAAAATGGTCTTGCGTGCCATACTTGGCACGCGTGCCGGGGGTTGCTGACCCCTGCACTATAATATATAAATGAGTTTTGAAACTGGGTTCCACTCTATTCATAAATGGATGCCTCACGTCCAAAATGGTTAAGAAGCATGGGTCTAATCTATTCTTAGAACTTCAGAAACAGACCTTACACACAACAACCAAGCATAATGCCCAAAAACATGAAAACACTCTAACTTTCTGCAGGTAAAGCAGGGGGAGGTGAGCACTGTCAATGTCCCACCACTACAAAGACAGGAACATTTGTTAAAACATGCTCCAGAGATACAATAAAGAGGATCATTTCTCTCCCAGATAAGCCAAAGATTTTATTTTTCCTATTGTTTGTTACATTCAGATTTTGGACATAATGAAAATCATTAGCTGGATGACAACATAGGTCCAGTTTCAGCAGTAACGGGCAAACCAGAAACCACATGCAGAAGATACGCAGGAGAAGCCATTATATTTTTGCCTGTCTTGGAATACATGAGGCAGCTAACCACGGACAGATAATTTAGGAAGTTCCTCATCTCTTCTGCCCTTAGGTTAGGAACACAGTTTGTAGCTTTGTTGGAAAGTACCAAATACAATATAAAAGGATTGCATGGGCAGTGTCTTAAAGTTGATGTCTACCCTGCCACTGAAGTCTTTGTGGATCTCAACATTTCATGCAGGTATCAGTTAATCTGGGAAAATATGCATCGTCCTAGAACTGGTTAACTGAATAAGTTGCTGAAGATGGCTCTTGACTCAATGACTAGGACCACACACTCCAGTTGTTTTTAATGCATCGTGTAGTTACAAACATACTCTTAAATCAGATATAGACACGGGGTAAAAAGACCTGCACCATGAAGCAAAACTCAAATAGAGAATACAAAAGGGCTTATGACAGGACAGATGGACTGTATGCTTCAGCTGATCACCAGGGATCCTGGTTCCACAGGTTTCAGATTAAAAAAACGTAACCCAAAATCCACATTTTTCCATCATTAAAATAAAACATCACTACACACAGACACACACAGAGTAATAGCTCTGTCATCCAGCATGAGTGGGAAATGGGGGGTGCCAGTAATCTAAAAATGCTGGTTACCTGAGGCACAAGGGTTTCCAGCCACACACAGAGCAGCAGCAGTGCAGAGTGGTGGGCGGCAGCGGTGGCATGCGAGCTTTCCTCCCCCCCACCACCACTTGTGTCTGGCCGGCCAGCCGGAAGTTCTATCTAATATAAACGCCAGTTAGTAAAATAATGAATAACAGGGCTTACAATAATATATTAGTGATGTTTCAGTTTAAATCACATAAAAATGCAGATTTTGGGTTACTTTTTTTTTTTTTTTTTAAATCTGAGAACTGGGGTTTTGGTTTTTTTTAATCAGAGAAAATGAAGATCCCTGCTGATCACTAAGGAGAGACAAGAGAATTGGCTCAAAACCTGCTCAAGTCACTTGTGAGGAATTGCTATCTACTGCTTCCTCGGTGACCTACTTTTTGTGAAATAAATTGGTACTCTTGGTCCATTAGATGCTGGACAAGTGCCCTCGTGACAACTGGTGTCCTTGTTGGCAATCCCAGCACAGCTCAAGGACTGAATTTGTATGAGGAGAAAGCTGATCTCCTCTCACTTAATACTCACTCAAGCAACACATTTAACACTAAAAAATAAAAACCACAGTGACACTTGTAAACATTGAAAAAAAAGCTCTTAGCCCGCTGCTACCTTGAGGAAGTGTTTTGAGATCAAACATCTGGCCAACAAGTTCTAAATGATTTGATGTTTATGCAAGAAGTTGACAACAAAACAAGATTCTGACCTGCTACAATAAAAATGACTCATTTGGGTAATTGCCATTTTTGAAGCAGTATTAACCAGTTAGGATCCAATGCTAGTAAGTCAGCAACTAGGACTGCACTAGCCTTGGACAAGGTCTAGAAAATCAATGCCTTAAAAAAGGAGCCTTAATGGATCATAAGAGGCATCATAAAATGTATAGTAACTCTACAGCCGGTAACAAACTGACCAACACAAATCACTGAAGATTTGTCCGTGAAGGAAAAAATGCAGCCCAGTTGAATCACTTTAGTCTTATTAAAAAAATTTTTAAAGAAACTATCCTTGTTACTAATTTTGAGGATAGACGTACATATGAGATGAACGGAAGCTGCATGCATATGTGTATGGTATGGTATGGTATAGTATTAGGATTGCTTCCAGGAAACAAATAAAAAATAATAAATAATGACGACTATGGCTTGCATTACGGCTACTTGAAATAATGGTGATTTAATACAGCCCTAAACTGTAAACTTGCACACAACGTTATTAAACTAACTGGGTAAACTAACTAGACCCTCCAAGGGAACCCAGCCAGATCTAACATAAGCAATATGTCAAGTTTGATAAAAAAACCAGTTCCACCGAGCCATGTTCTCCAATAGCCCTTTCTGGGATAATTATTTGCCATATGAAAGGATGCCGTAAGTCAAGTACAACAAACACTTGTGTCTTAACAATAAATAGTTATTGAAAATTGATGCTGAAGAAACAAACTTCAAAATGTATGCCTAGTATTAAATCATCCTGTAATGTATAAATAAATATCCTAAAACATAATAAACATACAGGACTTCTTAAGAACCTTTGCAAGTGACCAAAATAACAATATTTAAACATGAGCAGGGGTCAGCTCCAATGTGGACTGTTGTCACCACTTTGGATTTAGAAACTATCTTATGTGCTGAGGAAGCACAGCAGCACGGTGACTGATACCTAGTCTTAACATGAGCTTTTCAACATACTTTTGTAAATGGCTAGCATTAAGTCTTTTATCTTGCCACTTCAATAGCTGTGTTGCAGTTATGCCTACATAATTATTTCTACAGGAGAAGCTACATCTTCCAAGTTAGGTCTGTAGTTTTTGTTCGCCTTTTAAGATTTCTGAATTAGCTGCAGGCATATGACTTTACCTGTGGCAGGTCAGGATGTTCGGTCTGTGTTATACCAAGGCTGACGGTAGACTTACACAGAGTTTAGATTATGGAGTGTATGGGATGGTTTGGGTAAGGATGATCCTACCTCAGGCAGGAGTTGACCTAGATGCCCTCTGATAATGTCTCTACTTTTCTGTGATTCTATTAGCTTATAAGACACTAGCCAATTTCAAATCCCTTGCTTAACCCATCCCTGCCTTCAATTGCTTTTGTGTAACAATGACCAGTCATTCCTGTGATACTCTTTTACCTTGTATTTTATCTCCTCACTACTGCATTATCTACTCTTTTTTCTCTCTCTCTCTGTATTCACTGCCCAGTATTACTTCAGAACCGGGCATGTACCGGCCCCACATAAATGCACAACAGTTTGGGTGACTGTCCCAGCAACTAAAGCACTCTCAAGGCAAGGGTATGATCCATCTGG